AATGGTTTATGACTATATTCTCTGGTTATTAGTTCGTGTCATTAAAGCTATAACCTTTTTTTTTCTCTGAACTACTCGATTGACCATATATGTTGATTATCAGTCCTATATACTCGGATATAGATAAATGCATCATTTTTCTGAAAATTAGATTTATTTATTGTTTTATATCCTGGAGTAATATGCTACACAAACTTACATTCATTTCAATCTTTTCTTTAAACATTCATTTAGAACACAAAATTGTTAATCAAAAAAAACTGACGAGAGAAAATTTTTCTGTGAAAAAAAAATTTTCTTTTACACATTTGTTATCTCGATGATAAAGCATTCGTTTTGGTTGAAACTTTCGGTATATTGTAAGAGGCACAAGATCTATTTTTGGATGAAATTTCTTGATTTGATTTTGCTCGATAATATCTTACAATAGACTGAAGATTCAGTAGAATGATGATAAGTTGAGAATGAAGGCTTAGTGAAAAACAAAATCCTTTTAGGATTTTTATTCACACTATGAGCAAAATATGAGTTCAAACGGAATGCATCAGTTGATCAAGTTTCCTCGTGAACCATTAACTAACATATTGATTTCGTAAAAATAATTGTTATTTTTTACAATATTTAAAAAACATAATCAAATTTCTTTTCTCTATTTAATAATTTATATCAAGGACGCAACAGAATCCTAAGGTGCTTTTTAAAATCCATCACTGTGAACAGATTTCATTCAATATAAATTAGAAAATGTTATAACAAATTGATACCTCGTGCTCTTTCGATGTTTTCTTTTGATGTTTATAATGTCTGTAAATGCAAAAAGGTCAATGCCTATCTTATCACCAGTAAGAATAGTGAGGTTATCTCATACTGAGTATACAAATGACTATCACATTGTTAATAAATATAGACGATGCATAGACTGATACCTCTATTGTTCATTTACTATTACACAATCATAAGTTAACTTGCTAATTAGAAGTGAAAGAAAGTTCATTGTCTTTTCAATATAAATAAAAGAAAAAACTATCAGATTGATGAAATAAGATTATTAAAAGAAGAGGGGGAGTAAAGAAAAAAAATTCTTCTTTTTTTTCTCCTTTCATTAGAAAAAAAATACTAATAATAATGACATTTCTATTTTTATAGTCAAGTAAGTGAGTATAGTTTCTACAATTACAAATAGATTCTAGAATGATAATTATAAACCGTAAAATGAAAAGGTCGTCGTTTTAAGTTAATGAATGAAGTAAGAGATGATTTTGTTGCTTCTTCGCTCTCTCTCTCTCTTTCTCTTTCATTTATCTCGTGCTTATGTTATTTTCTTTTTTGCCATATTGATTGATGATGGTCAACTAAGAATAGCTCACACGCACACGCTATAAATTGTTTCCGATGTCATTGTTAAGACCTTGATCGATCTTTCTCGTCAATATTTGAGAACGATTAGAATGTAAACTTATTGAGTTGAATTTTTTTTTCTCATTAATATTAGCATAAACATTTATGTTCATCAGACTAATTGTTCATTCTAGCATATAATCAAAATAGATTTTTGTATTTCCTTTTTCTTTTTCTTATATCTTTCTAACAATTAAGTAATGTTTGCCGGGTGCATCTCTCTGTTTATCGTTATGTATAAATGCAAAAAAGATTTATGATTAAGCCACAAGATCTTTCTCATTTCTTTTTTTCTTCTCTATCTCGTCTCTTTCCACATCAGCAATTTCTGGGCAAAAAAAACTTCTCGCTACTACAACTGCGATAAATGTCAGAACACTGTTGTTGCTTGCATAGTGAAGGAAGCAAAGAAAAGCGAATAGAAATGTATAAACACATTGTGTGTCTGTGTGTGTGTGCATGCTTTCTCGACAGCTAAGTCAGCCCGCTGTTCGCCTGGATGACATGTTTAATTCTTCTTACTACGACTGACGTTGCGATCGTCATTCATCGCTTCTGCTGCTCATGATGTCATTTGGTCATTAGCTAACAACGATGGATTCTTTTTTTTCCATCTATCGTCTGCTATAGCTAGTTGTCGTAGTACTACTTAAAGCATACTCGTTGTCGTTGATGATGAGGTTATCGTTCGTTGTTGTTCTCAATCCATTTTTTTGTTCAGATGTGTAGATATATATATATAGTTCTTATGCTATCCTTCCTATTCATAAAATAGCAGCGGATGCTATGTCGGTTGCACACAGGAAATGCTTTTGAACAACATCAAGAATAGCCAGTAAAGACAGATAGAAAAAAAAAGAAAAATTTTAGTCTTTGAATCTCTACCGCCGACTTCATTGTCATTTTATCATTAACATTACTATCGGTGAGTAGATGACTGCCCTTGTATGCATTGAAAAGATTAAATCTCCTTTCTTCTCTTTCTTCGTCATGTCTCGACTTACTCTATTTCTAGGTGTGTACATCTATAGTAGATACAGAGTAATTGCCAGAACACCACAATTTACACATGCACACTGTAATCGGACACTCGTGCACATACAATCATACATTGGAAGAGTTAGATCTTTCTTTCTTTCTTTCTCAATCTCTCTCTCTCTTTCTAATCATCATACACAATCGCGTTGATTGGAAATTTGCCTTTCGATGTATTTTATTTTCTTAATAATAACCAAGAAAAAAAAAGTAACGAGGATGACAATATTGTCTAATAATATTGAATTAGGAGAATAGCAAGAAAACCAACTATGTCTATCTATTGGGACTAATTTTTGACATACATATGCCAATAAACACTGAAGCACATGATGACAATCATTGTCACCAAGTATTTGCTGTCAAACAAACTAGGCATAGACGTTTGCACAATTTATACTAGTAAAGGCGGTGAAGCTATTAAATAAATGAGGAGAAAAAGAGAGAAAGACAGAGTTCCTGTCTCCATTTTTATGACTTCTTCTCGTTTTTTTTTCATTGTTTTAAAAGCAATAAAAAAATAGCAGTAACAGTCTTCCTCTCATGCCACTCATTGTATAGCTCGGTCACTTGTTAAGATATTATAAGGATTGTATTATGAAATCGTATACTCAGTTCAATATTCAATATTTATTGAAAGAATAGGGTGAGTGATCATCCGTATGGCTGTATATATATTCATATCAACAATAACAACAGTTGCTCCTTCTTATTTCTTCTGTCTCACCTCTCTCTCTCATATGTCGTATCTTCGGGTAACACTGTCGTACGCCCTATCGACCGTTCAATATCCTCACTTTCCTTTTTTTTTGTTCTCTTCATTTTTCTTTGAGGGCATTGTTGGCTCGGTAGAAAAAGTAATGACTGTACATACATATATATATATATGCACACAGTGAGAAGAAAGAACAGCCGATAAAAAAATTCTTTTGAATACAGACGAGCACCTCTACACAATTTATCGTCTCTGTATATATTCACGTTGATGTAGACCTAAAAGAAGAATATATAAGAGCTATGAAAACAATTAATTTCTTTTCAACCAATTGATTTTTTAATAATACAAACTTTTGTCATCAATTGTTTTTTTGTTAACATGATGAATATAAGGTAGGTCGAATAAGTTAGAATTCATTTTTAACATAGACATAGACAAAAAAAAACTAATAGTAAAGTTTGAATATGATTTATATCATTCATATGCGTGTTGGTGAAATAGAACGTTTTTGACAAGTCTTTTCATCTTATTCCGGTTCTTTTTTTTCTTCTCTTCTTTCAACATTAGAAGATAGATCATCATCATTAACATGCTTTTATTTTAGCACCGTCCTTGATGATAGTATGAACACATATTTTGTATGTAAAAATGGTCAAAATGTGTCATGGACATCTGTATGTGATGGCCGTAATCAATGTACAGATGGCTCAGATGAACGTAATTGTAAGTTGTTTGATGTATGAAATTATGAAGGTTTTAACTACATGGTTATATAATATAAAATATGTTCTCTATCTCATTTTAATGCGTTCGGACAAGATTTTTTTTTTTCTGTATTTTGAAGTGTCCTTTTTTTCTTCTTATAAAGAATTGAAGATTTATATAAAAGAAAAACTTAATGTTCAATGTTTACAGGTTATTGCCAAGGTGATGTTTATGCTTGTTTACAAGGTAATAATGTTAGTTGTCGAGTAGCATGTACTACCTATGGCCGTGTCACTTGTTTAACATATCAAAATACACGAGCTTGCGAACAGTATATTCGAGAACGTAGTAAGTCAATTTATAGACGTTTTTTCGATATATATATATGTAATTCATTGATTTTATTATGATATATAGGTAGTACTAGTTATCTTGATATTAATTCTGCCGGTGATTCATCTATAACAACAAATAGTTTTGATGCACTTCGATATTCAGGTAAGTAATATAAGAAAGAAGAAACAACAGATATTTTTTTCTGAATATGATATCATTGTTTTTTTTCTAGCTTTTCTAGCCGGCGGTATTCTATTAGTTGTTTCTCTTCTTTCATTAATTATTTATATTATTCGTAAAAATCCTTCTCAATTATTATTCTTATGTACTAATAAGTCATTAAGTCGAAATTCAAATCGAAAATTTACAAATCGCTTAACATTAGAATCATCTGTTTTACAACAACATCATCAACAACAATCAACTCCTTCAGTAAATTTATCTCGTCCACGTTATACGCCAGCACCTGATATTAATGATTTACCACCATCTTATTATTCAGATCAAAATCCAACATTAATAGGTGATTGTTATGAACCACCACCTTATCCAGGTCCACCTTTGTTTTCATCAGTACAACGTTCAGATTCAATCTATTATGAAACAATAAAAACTCCGTCAACATCAAATTCAATGTCTATGTTACATCCAATGCCATTGCCTGAACCACGTGCTTTTGTAAATGTTCGAACACATCGTGTGTAATAAGAAAACAAGTTAATCGAACAAAATGAAAGTTTTTTATTCGTTTTTCTTTGTCTATTATTTAAATATGTAATAAGAAAGAAAACTTCTTTCTGTATTTTTTTTATCCACCTCCACCAAAAAGACGAGCTAAAACACTTGATCCAGCACTACTCATTCCTCCGGGTGGTGGATATGAAGATGGTGGTGGTGGAGAATAGCTCATTGGAGGTGGCGGCGGATAACTCGATGGGGGTGGTGGGTAGCTAGGTGGCATTGCTGGTGGCGGATAATTGGATTGTGGAGGTGGTGAACTTGGATGAGGAATATGATCCCATACAGATCGAACTGCATCTAATATTTAAAGAAAAAAGAAAGAAAAGTTGATTCAGGAAGAAAGAACTATGTTGATAATTACCACCAGATTGTCCGTGAAGATACTGCTCGATTCTGTCCCAAGCACGCCCTGCAGCTGGAGAACCATCTTGATTAAAACCAGCACCATGTGCTGCTGCATTCCAAGCATGTGACACTGCTGAATGAGGATCTTATCATGGAAAAAAATGATCATAGGAAAAAAAACAAATAAGAAAATTGAGTCCAACCTGTTGGATACGGTGGATTTCCATGGGAAGCTGCATTCCAGACATGTGATACTGCGGAATAGGGATCTTGTCACAAAAACAATGATCATAAAATAATAAATAAATAAATAAGAAAATTAAATCTAACCCATTTGATTTGCATGGGAGGCCGTATTCCAAACATTTG